CTATCCAGATCCCTCTGCAATCTCTCCCTCCCTGCTAGCGTGCTCACCTCCCCCCAAATTTTGGTGTCATCAGCAAATTTAAACAGGTTACTTTGCTGTCATCAGCAAATTCAAACAGGGTGGTGGAGAGCAGGTCCCACAGCTCCCTTCAAGTACAACTATGGGGGTGGGAGGAGGGGGAAGTTGACACAGGTGACATGGGAGTGGGCAAGGGGGCACAGGTGATACGGCAGGGGATGGGGGTGAGGGGAGTGAAAGTGTGCCCCCCCCTCCAGATTTCTGTGCCCACAGTGGGATACAGGGCTGAAGTCAGGCTGGACCAGCTCTGAGCAGGAGCTCCCTCTGCAGCCAGTGGGTAGGACCTGGCACACGAGGCGGTGCTGTGTTGCCAGGGTCAGCTAAGGTGAGGTGCCCCCTGCCCATCCAGTAGCAGCAGGGAGCACAACTCTATGCTACTACTGCTGCCACACCTCACCTTGGCACTTGTGGCAAGGCAGCACTTCCTCCCATACCAGGTCCCACTCACTGGGCTGCGGAAGTGGCTTCTACCTGGAGCTGCTCTGGCCAGGCTGCAGCCCCGCATCCCATGCCCCACTGTGGTTGCATAAATCTGGGGGGGCACCTGCCCCTGGGGTGCATCACCTGAGCCCATAACTCCCTTTCCCCACGCACCCACCACCTTCCTCAGACACTGTGGGGCTGGGGCCTGGGGGCAGCAGATAGTGGATTGGGAATGAGAGGCCCTAGCAGAGCTGGGGAAGCTGGGGGTCAGGAGTGAGGATCACTGGCAGGACCAGGGGGCTGGGGGTCAGGAGTGGGGGGCATTGGCAGAGGTGGGAGGGGGGCTGTGGCTTGGGAGTGAGGGGCAGGAGCAGGGCACTGACATATCAGGGCTGCTCAGTGCCACAAAGCAGCGGGTGGGGACAACCACAGCCTGACCCACGTCCTGGTGAGCAAAGGGGACAGGGGAAGCTCTGATTTACTGTGATAAAAAAACCAAAATCAAATGCCAAAATATACAGATATTTAGAATTTGTTTTGTTATAATGATTGAGGCACTGCTAGGCTTCCAAACTGCTTTAAAATGGTAAATATATCAATAAAATATTGTGTTCAACTGATACCTGTATCTATAGTAGTGTTTCATTTTAATCACAGAAAAGCACAGGTTTTGACGTTTTAAATCAGAGAATCTGGGATTTTTAAATGGAGAAATCCAGGATCTCTGCTAATCAGAAACTGAGACCAAGTTCTCCATTTTACCCAATAAACCATCATCTACGTGAATTGTTCTCCCTGGTGGCTTTTGCACTTCCTTCCATAAAGGAAATATTTTAAATGCATTTCTGAAGTCCAGATGTCTTGTTCTTGGAGTGATTGATTTCCTTTGCTTTTGGCAGTGCCAAAGCACTGTCTTTTAATAATTGCAGTTGTCTGCATTAAATACAGCAATTAGTAGATGTAAATGCAAATAGAACACACTGTATCCTGTCTTCTCAAATTACCCTGTGTCAGGAATATGCACATGCTCAATTGAGATCAGTTACAGCATCATTAACAGAATTTTCTTTTTGTTTTCTCACCTATACTTTTATCAACATTGACTAATTTCTCCAGCCTTCTGTTCCATGTTTCAGCTAACAAGAACCTATGGAAGTAGGAGAAGATTTTCCAAGACCAAACGTGGGATTTTATATGTTAAAGTGCCTTGTGAATTTTGACCTGCAAAAATGCTACCCTGATGTTTTGCGTGTCATATCCGTAGATGCCTTTCCGTTGATTGCATTTGCTCAGTTCAGAGTTTGCAACAAGATTCCCATTTATTGTGACTTTCAGCATAACATGCTGAGGCTGTTCTCTGATAATAAAGCTGTGTCCTTTCTGCTTCATATATCATCACTGACAGTAAAGGTACTGAGATGGTGCAATACTTGGCAATTCTAGCTGATGATGCATGAGGTAGAAGTGCATGCAGCTCTCCCTTCTGCAGTTCTATTGGCTCTGCAGTGCTGAGTTGCACACATTTTTTTTTAAGGTCCAGTGAACCAAGTAGAATGTGACTCATATTCACAAGAATAAACTGTGCCGCAGGCCTTCATGGAAGAAAGCATGGATGGGATGATGTGATAGCCTGTGATAACAAACCTGAAAGCAGGCAACTGGACTAGATGAAACAAGAGATCCTCTCTAGTGTTCTGTTCCGATGTATTACAGAAAGCCCAGTTGCTTCCAGCACGCACACAATACTATCTGCACCACCCCACTGACTATCATGGGGAGGGATCAATGTCCTGCTTCCACCCACACCACGTGCGCAAGGTGCGCTTGGAAGGGAGATGGGGGAACTGCCCCCTTGCTTCCCAAAATAGAGAGAATATCGTCGTCTCTTGTCTGTTGTGCAAAATACATATCGGTGTCGTGCAAACTTTCCATACAGTCTGCCTACACCTATGCCAGGGCCACTGCTAGTCTGTCCAACATAAAGCAGTTCTTCTGTAAGCACAAAGTCACCCTTTAAAAATATGTGTATCAGTGCTGGTGTCAGTTGTTGAGCAGCACAATTCCACTGTCGTCTGCAGTACATACAATGTTTGTATTAATGCAACGTTGTTATATGTTGTAATTTATGCTATATTCATTACACTTGAGATGTGTGAAAGAACTTGCAAAGACATAAACTTTAAGAAAGCCCAGCAGCAAATTATAGCCTGACAAAATCATTTTTAAACACAGCAACAGTTTAGGGTTTGGATAGCATCCGTGTGCAGTACAAGCATAATCTGTGCAGATAATTAATGTAGAATGAGGAATTCAGGACACTGAAGATAACAGAAAGGGGCAGGGAAGGCATCTGAGTTTTTGCTTTTGGTAAAGCCAAATTCAGTACTGTAGCTCAGATTTAAGCTCTTCTTTTTTCTTCTGGTTTTAATCCAAACTTTCAGAATCTAAGGTGGGTCAGATAAAAGGTTTGGGATTTTTCCCAGCTCTGTAATGAATAAACTGAGGTAGTCTGATTTAAGTATTCCTTATTTGACAGAACTGGTCATATGGCATGCTGTTTCACACACAAACTGGATATGCAAACGGACATGTAGAACCCCGTTTGCTATATGTGTATGTGAATACCTAATTTGCAAGAATCACAGCAATGATGCATGAACATTAGATGTACAACTGCATGCGCTTTTGACTCTGCATTTCTCTGCCTCTTACAAAATAGGTCATTAAACTGGTAAATGCTATTAGTTAATCAACATCTTATGTGGACAATTTCTGTCACATAGCAGCAGAGGAAAAATTGTGAATGTGTTGTCATTGTAACTCCCTAACAACTAGAGAAACATCTGTAAGCAAGTGTGTTAATACTGAGTATTTAATGAAAAGGAAAGAGTTGGCAGTATTTTCTGAGATGAAGTGGAAGAAAAATGATACTTTAGCTAACAGATTAATGTCTTGCAAATGGACAGTTAACAAAGTACCCTGACATTCTCCTATATTTTGATGTTTTCAGGAGACCAAAATCAACTGTGTTCGACTGGCGACAAAAGGTATGTGAGTTTCTCTCTCCCTGGTTACTAGCATGATGCCAATAAGGTAAAAGCTACCATGATGACACAACATAATTGCAGTGACCACTGAAAGCCATGGGCCTTTCTTAAAGCAGGTCTGGACTGGCCAGGCCAAATCCAGTTTCCACAATCACCTTCTATGGCCTTTGCAAGTATTTAAGGCATTGTTGGAACAGGAACCCCCCCCAAACCCTTCTTCTTGTTATCTTATTTCCCTCTGCAAGTATTTGCAGTACATAAGAGAAAGAAGATTTATCATAAAGCTGGCTTTTCATGGAATTTGAGCATGTAAAAATCCCAACTTTAAACACAGGGTCCAGCTCCAGAGTTTCTGCTTTCACTGGTATGAGCTCAGAATAGATTCAGTAATAGCTTTGAGCAAATGTCAGGTAGCTGGTGATATGATAAGAATGCACTGGCAATGTATGATTAAGAATAACACTTCTCATCCCTGAATCCCCACTACAGGGTAGAACTCTGAGGAACCTTTCATCTCAGTGTCTAGGTTGCTCTTCAGGTTATGGAACTGCTCATAACTTGACTGATGATGTAATAATCAACTCAAGGGTTAATTTGCAAACAAAAGTGGTAAGAAAGCAATTTATTTGCAACAAAAATAGAAGAGTAGTTTGGAAAAGACATAGCACCAAGGAGCTATGAAACACCAGTTGACAGGTACCTAATATGAGAAGATTATCAGATCATCAGATTCTTTGGCATGGGACTTGGAGGAGTTAAGATGGTCAGTGTAGTACTTTAGAGATCACAGTAGTTTGGATAAGAGGCAGTTCTGTACAACCGCAAGAATTGCATTGGCCAGAGCCAGGTGCTGGAAACAGCTTGTGTCACCATTGTAACCCAAAGACAATGAGCCTTTTCTTCCCTCTTTTCCTTTCTTATGTGGCTCCACTTCTCTGTAATGCCCCCACACCATATCATTGCTTTCCTCTTTAGAGGTTCCTCATCAAATCATCATCTTAAGTCCTTTATCTGAGCTGCAAACATTCTGTACATCTTGACTCT